TTCAGGTGGTTGGCTCCGACATTGGGGGCAGACCAGCACTAAATGTACTGAGTGTACTGGCCTTAGGTTCTCCTACTATTCAGTACCACTTGAAATGTTGCTACAGCCTGGACTCCTCCTGTCGGAAATATTCGCAGTCTGCATCGGTTACTTAATCTCCCTACCAACTGCACTTCTCCGAGTTGCTCCACAATTTTACAAGTACTCCGCCGCAGACCTCAAACGTCTTAATAGCAACCACCAACTCCCTAGAGAAGCTGCCTCCGCTGCGTGCCGAGCAGGCATTTTACGCCGGTGTCTTTATATTCATCGTGGCTCGAGGCACTATAGAACTTTTCTCTTATATGACAACACCAACATCTGCACGTTCTGGACTACTCGGCGTCGACCAACTACCTGTACCCAGCGTGCTGTTAATTTTAACCATCTCCGTACTCTACCCCAGACTTCATTCAAACGACAACTTGTAAACTGTGCACTTTTGAATGTGCGCTCTGTTTCCACTAAGTCATCTCAACTCCATGAACTGATAATAGATAACAATGTTGACTTCTTCTTTCTCACTGAGACCTGGCAGCCACCAGGCGATTTCTATGCACTCAATCAATCCACTCCCCCTAATTTTATTTTACTCATATTGCCTCAAACAGCTCTAAGAAAAAGTCCCGCAGAGTCATGGGGTGCTTTCACATCAAACTTTTTTTCAGGGACTAAAACATTTTTCCGGAACCACCAGGAACTTTTGTCATGTTCACGCCACAGATACTCGGCCCAAATGTAGTTCCTCGGAGGCAGTTCCAGAACCCTTTTTTAGTCCCAACTCCACTGCTATTTAAAAGGGTATCTCACCCAGGTAATCAACCAGGACCCAGCTGTCAGTGTCCTCCTACTGAGTGAAGTCTGGCCCAGGGTTGCACAGGCTGTCGTCCTCCCATTCCCTCCTATAAAGCACCTAGGCGAATCTGTGGAGCATCCCTACGACAGCCAGGAGAGAAGTGGGCCTGATGGTCACAGAGAGAGGAACATTTAAGATGCAGAGAACATCAGGCTCAAAAATCTGCCATTTAGTTAAGCCTGGGAGTTTATTTTAACTCCCTGCTGAAACGATACTGCTGCTGTGCAAAGTGAAACAACAATGGCTTGCCCTGCGATCAACCCAAGGCTCTGTCCATATTCTCATGATCCATTCGTAAAACAAGAAGGAACTCACAGCATAGTGAACTTCATTACTCAACACAGGAACCCACATACATCGCAGTACACACTCAACCATACTGCTTATCCAGAACAGAGCCACAAATGACCCTGCATTTTAACCCAGGTAGGACCTTTGGAGTGAGGCTACAGCGCGAGCCAGTTAGCCAGTGACAGAGCAGCTATGAGTTCACAGCGATCTGAGCAGATAAGCAGAGCAGGTGGCCGGGGTGCAGCGGACTCTGCCTTTCTTCCCGGTGCCTAGTCTCCTACACCTGTTTGCCAACTGAACTGTCAGTTAAATGTCTTTCAACAGGAAAGGATAAGAGCCTAAGGGAGAGGGTAACAAAGGACCTTGTTAAAGACATAAGCTACATTTTTGGGTTAAAACAAAATCTTATAGCTGAATTGTTTTTGGTTGTTCTTATCCTCATGGCTCTGTCATTTTATATTATTTTTGCTGTACGTTTCATTTATATGTAGTAACTCATCTTTATTAGGACAATCTGTTTCACTCTTCCTTTACTTATTCTATAATCGAATTTAATGATAAGATCATGGGCATATTTTTGTTTTAGCTGGTGTAACTTGCTCTGAGCCATTGGCTGTTAGGCTAATAAACTCAATATTACATATATTAAGAGTAATACCAAAAGATTTAAGAAATCCCAGCTATAACCATGTTATTGTTTCAACGTTGAATTACAGTTAAATGCGTTGAATTGTGGTCAGTGTTAAATTACCAACGTTGAAACAACTGATTTTTGGTCAGATTTTCAATATTGAAAAACTGATGGTGGCAAAACCTTGATTCAGTGTTGATATAAAGTGAAACTGGACGATTACGTACAGTATGCAAATAACAGCCTTTACTTATAAATATAAAATATAACAAAGTAAAAGACCTACCTGTAACCAATGGAAAGTGAAAACTGATCCTTTTGGTAGCTGCACAGCAAAACAGGAAAGTGTGACAAAAATATTCTTGCTGAAAAAAACATAACTATAGCGTCGGTGTCTTAAACCTCTTCTGTAGTCCAAGTCATGCACGTGCGCCCCTTGCAGCTAATTCTAAAAGTGCGCCGCACTCCGATCGACTGTCACTGACAGGGGTTGTGCCGAAATCCTCCCCCCTTCCGCATGCACGAGCATTCTCAATACCGGGGTGTTTTAACAGGCATTTAACTCACAAGGTTTAAAAGGAGCGATTTAAACTAAGGGTTTGTAAAGGCAAGTATCTAAGTATAACGCGAATTATTATTTGTGTCTGTCACGATATTTTATCATCTCCATGTAAACTTCCGTGTTATGGCATTCAGCTTTAAGCAAAGTTTAAGTTAATGCGACAAAAAGATGCACTGGACTCGACTATTCACACTTCTGACCCTCAAATGGTGACTAGTAATTTTTTTCTTCCCATCTGTTGTATGATTTTATTTCACTTAACAATAGTTTTAGTAAAGGATGTCTTTATTAAACCATTACATTAAATTTTATAAACAAATCAAAAATGTTGGTGACGCTTTACATTAATTGCACCTTCATGATGACTTCATAATGCATTCATAGAACATTCATAAGCAACATGTAAGTATACCATAACAACTTTAATACACATTAAGCATTATAATAGTTAATGTTATTAATGTACACAAAAGCTGTTAAGGCATGTTAGAATGTTATGGTATACTTGACAAAATTATATTTCCCATTTATTTTGAATATTTTAGTTTATATCTAGCTTTCTATTTTTAACATTTAATTCCTCTGATCTTAGTGTGATGTCACAGGATGAGCAAAGGCTTCTGGGTGAAAGGTTTTGTGGTTCAAAGGATTTCGGTCGAAAAGCTGAAGCAATGAAATGCCTGCGTGCCCCAGCTGCTCAGCCCCGGTGGTGCGGCCAGCCTGCGGACAGTGGAGGGAGCCCATGTGCGACAGATGTGGCGGCTTGGTGTCGAGGGTTTCACTCCTTGTAGATAAGGGCAGGTTAAAAATAGGAGCCCCTGTCATGTCAGATTTTACTCAGTGTGGCCCATGCCTGTCCAGAAGTAGATGTTTACCTCTCGGTGTACTGCCTGGATTATAAACAATTTGGCAAATTATAAGCAGTTGCATTGAATAATTTATGTATTGGGTGTGTTTAGCATATTTTACAATGATGCTTTAAATTTTAGTGTAATTTAATGCTTCAAGCTGTTATGAATTCTTTATTTGGCGGGAAGGTGAGCAAGGTCTCAGGGACTTTGCTCCATAATAAATTTATTCAAAGTGGGTCCTCACACAGAAGCGTGATAATAAACAGGCAAACAGAGAAGTCAATGAATGCTTTCAGGTCCTGATGATTCCGGCCCAGATTAACCTCTAAACCACTGGTGGGAACATTTTTGGGCCACATTAAATGTTTTAATTGTCCGATGGGGCTCGCCCAGTACAGATGCCCTAACATAAACCTCCAAATTCAATTTAGTTTCAAATTATGATTTTTAGATTGCAATTTTTAGATCTCCACAAGAGTTTAAAATGGATTAAACATATCTTACTGGTCGTATTTGTCGCTGGTAACATATTTGCCCAGTTGCACACACATTTTGTTAAGAGACTGACGTGTGTGAGTCTTGCTATCATAAGCAAGCGTGTGCAGACACCATTTTGGCACCTTCTCAATTTAAATCCAGAGTTTGGACAAACATATTGCAGTAATACCATTAATATTTGTGCACCTTGTTCCTGACACCCCCATTTAGATGCCCCCAAACCTGCAGCTATGCGTGCAAGTCAACAACCCTCCAGACAACTTTAAACAATAGCTCTGTAAAGGCTTTATAATATAAATTCTTTTTTGTTAATATGCCAGGGAAACAGAATTTCCTCTGAAATGGTTTATTACTAAAACTGTAAACGCCATTTCCTCCGGGATCAATAAAGTTTTTCTGATTTTCTGAACAGTTGCAGTAACTAGTAAATATTGATTAGCTTTATGGAGAACTGGAGGAATAGTCTATTTCTGAGAGAAATTTCCTCCCAACTTTCAGAAAAAAGGTTTCAGTCCTGGAAAAGTTTTGTTCTCCAAGGTACAAACAACATTAATGTACACCCAAGGGTGCAAAAATGTTCCTCAGAGTCCATTTCTGTACCTTAAAAAGGTACATTTGTCTGCAGCTAGAATACAGTTGGCACACCCTTGAGGGTGCAGCACCAGTCACGAGTAATTGTACCCTCACAGCGTGGAGCAGCTCAGTAATCATGTCGTAGGTCTCGCCTGAAGCACATGGCATTCAGGCGGCACCCTCTGATGTGTGTGACATCAGCTACCGGCTTCCCCTTGCCACACAGCTTCACTGAGGCATAGCGTGCTCGCTGGAGTGTGACGTCAGAGGGATACCACCCCTGCAGGCGTCCAGCTAACAGTAGGTGTCGCTGTATGGCATCACAAGGGAGAGGAACGCGGCAGTCTACTTAACCATCCAGTACAACACTGGGACCCACTGGTGTTGTCTGCAACCTCTTGGTCTCGACTATGGACACCTAAAGAGGCACAGTGGGGGCCGTTGAGGGTGCTGTATACTAAGAAAAATAGTCAATTTCTTTGTATATATACATATATAATACCATATGTACTTTATGTTCTTCTGGCGCCATTGGAACTTTCCACTATGGATCAGCAGGTCTTAAAAGTAAGAAAAAACTAATACTGCATAAAAGTTTTTTACTAATTGTTATCGGTATATAAGCACTGATGTGTCTCAGTTGCACTGCGTTACAGCTTGGGTTCAAGGTATTGACAGCCAGTAATAGAAGAAAAGTGATCAAGTTGTGATCAAATTTTTATTGAAAGACAATGGAAGAAGAACATGAACAAGCATTGACACAGAACATTTAACATTTGACCCTGAGCATTTGTAAGTCTCATTAAAACCTCAGTATGCCAGTGGAAGTGCCATTACTGAAAGCGCTGGCTTGGTGCACTAGAGAAAGGCAAAAAAAAATTAAACCAAAAAGCTCTGAATACTCAAAAAAGACCAGCCAGCCTTGTTTGTGTCACATCTGCTGAACGACCACAAGTCAGCCAGGAAGCGTTCTGAAGCTGCAGTTACTACTGGCAGCAGTGCAATTTGTTTCATGTATTATATCTAGATTTCCTGCTTGCTGTTAACGGCTGGCATGTTACATTTCTCATAACTGCGTCGCAGGTAGCTTTGGCGGCTGCTGGGTTTCTGCGCAGCCTTTTATTTGTTGTTTTGTACAAACCGTCGCCCAAATTTGGAATATAAATGAGCTCAGCTTTCACCTCAGACCAACATGACAGACTCCCCTAACCTCAAAGCCACACTCGCAGCAAGCTAAGGATATCTTCACGGTGGATCTTTCAACACGTCCATCCTCCGGAATAATGGTGATAAGGGTCAGTGTGCAAACGAACATTATAATAACTCTCAGACTGTGTCCCTCGGTAAAGTTGAGCACCTTTACATGTATAAGAAAACTGTGCTGTACATCACTGAATCATGGAGAATCCATTAGGAAAAAAATCATTCAGGCTGATATTATGACCCCAATTTGCACCTCTTTTTCATTGTACATTCTAAAACAATAAGCATCTCGTAAATCTGTCAAATGTGTAACGAGTGGTGAGGCACATCAAAGAAATGCTTGAATGGGAACAACTGTCACCAGGTGGTGCTGGGGGAGGGGCAGGTGCAGTTCCTCTTAGTGCCAGTAGTTGGCGATGTCATCATAATCACTCCCACTAGGTGTGCTCCCATAGTGTCCCTCAGAATGCAAGCTGGACTCTCCTACAGGCGAAAACAGTGAGATAAATGCAAGTGGAAGGAAAAACACCCTTTAAAAATATACAGAACTCATAGTGATGGAATAGAAGCTTTGAAACCCGCAGTGGGTGGAATTAACGTAAAGAATCGCCAGTTATGCTGCCAGTCACTGTATAGCCTATGCTGACAGCTACTGCTCACTGGATTTCCTATCAGGTTAAAACAGGCTGTGTTTGACAGCACATGACAGCCCTACCCACTGCCAGTTTAAAAGTCCTCATTTTTCACATCACTAGTTGTCATCCAGTTGTCATGAGTTCAGCTGTATTGCCCCTGGACCATAAGATACAAGAAATCACAAGTGTCTGGGAACAGTAAATGTGTGAACTTTCTGCAGGTAGGGGGGTTTTCTCCTGAACAAAACATGAACTCAAAAGCAAAGTGTTATTTCCGTCCCAGATCTGCAGTGCAAACTGTCTGTGATCGTACAACGTTTCTTCAATGCAGGTTAAATCCACTTCAAATGCAACGTCTACCCTGAGTGAGGATAAGCCTATAAGAGAGAAGGCTTTAGGTTCTTCATTTCACTTATAACTTCCTGTTTACATAAAACTTTTTATTTTAAGTTCAAACTTTTTGCTAATTTTAAGCTGCAGTAGTATGAAGTTGCACTGGACACTGTGACATTAATATGGTGAATCCCGGGAGCGCACATGTACTGTATCTAGCTGGAAGAGAAAGGTGTAGGAGAGCTGTTACCTTTGAGCGCCAGGCCGCTGTAGCCATTCTGGCTAACTGCACTCTGCTCCGGGACAGTATCCACCAGCAATGGACAGCTGGTGTTGTCTTTAGTAGAAATGAGGGAAGTTAGCAAGCAGCATTACTAACCACAAATCATGTGTCGATTCAGTGGATAAAGAAGCTTGTTAGCGAACAACAAAAGTATTGGTTGCCATGAACAACGGCCTTCTTGATATATTTGGAAGTGGTGTGAAACTCTTGGTTTCGCGATAATTTAAGGTGATGTTTTGTGGGGTGAGCAGGTTTCAGTCCCTACCTGTGTTCACATAGCATTCCCCGGAAGAAGTGCTGGATGAATCAAATGAGTCTTCTGCAAGAGAGTGACACATTGGCCTGTCACATTTCTGGCACTTTCTTTGTGTCTGGCTAGCTGAAATAGCTGAGATATTGAAGAAGCCCCTCACCACTTGGGGTGACATTCTGGTCAACAGCTTGGGGGTAGCTTTCTTCTGCCGTTATATCATGCTGATCTGTTTTTTGGGTTTGGGAGATTTTGAAAGAAAATATCAAATAAAGCATTTAGAAACATACTGAGTGAATAGCTATCAGATACCCTGCTGCAGATCAGATGCTTTATATTTGACAAAACATAGAGGTCTCCTGTCTTTTTTTCTGCTTTTCCCATCCACTTCAAAAGAGGCAGCCTCACCTGTTTCTGGAAGACAGTACAGAGCATCGGGATTCATGGTGGGATTGCTGCTGTCTTCTCTATTGCGAAGGGAGTCTGATAGGCAGAAATTGAAGATGTGGTCTTTGTACCACAGCTCCCCGCCAGATAGTCCACATATTTGCTCCCTCTCAACTCCGTACCGACCCACAGACAGTCCACGTTTTTGCTCCCTGCCAAGCAGTCCACACTTTTGCTCCCTCCCAACTTTGTACCCGCCCACAGACGGTCCGTATTTTTGGACAGTCTGCGGGTCCCCGAGGACCGGGTTGGGAAACACTGCTGTAGCGCCTCATACAGTGCCCTCCCCAATTATTGGCACCCCTTGCAAAAAGCAGAAGCACATGTCCAAATCAACATATAAGTGGTTAGCTGACCACAGAATCAAGCTTCTGCCATGGTCATCTCAGTCCCCTGACCTGAACCCCACTGAAAACCTGTGGGCTGAGCTGAAGAGGAGAGCTCACAAGAGAGGGCCTAGGACCCTGGATGATCTGGAGAGACTCTGTACAGAGGAATGGACTCAGATGCCCTGCTCTGTGTTCTCCAACCTTATAAAATGTTATAGGAGAAGACTCAGTGCTGTTATACTGGCAAAGGGAGGTTGTACAAAGTATTAAAAGCAGGGGTGCCAATAATGTGTGTCACATGTGTTATTGTTGGAAATAATTATTTCTTGATGAAGGATTTGTTTTTCTTTGAATAAATTTATTTAAGTGAAAGGTTGGATTTTTCTCATTTTTTCAGTGTGAGATGAAGCTGCTTCACCAAAAGGTGGATTTTTTTTCTAACCCTTTTTACAAATTTTTACAAGGGGTGCCAATAATTGTGGAGGGCGCTGTATAGCATTGTTAAGCAATGAGATGTGGGAAGTAGACCAGATCCTACTCTGGAAGGTGGAAAGAGCTGCCCGGCCGCTGGGGTCCTGGTACTCATAGTCTGGCTCCAGGGAGGAATCCACGCTGCTTTGGTGGAGCACAGTCATGCAAACAGGTGGAGCTGAAAATGACAGTGATAAATGCACTTAAAGAGGATGGACCAGTGTGTTCAGCTGTTCACATGTTTTATTTGACAGGGCGCAGAGAGCATTTGAGGTTGTAAGCTGTGGGTGTAACGCAGGATGAGGGACAGGCCACAGACCGTCATATTCCGAGGGGTCACTGGCTATCCTGAGGACGTCCAGGGTGCCCCTGTACTCATTGGGCTGAGCGTTGGCATGTGCCTGGGGTTTGACGATCCCCTGCTGAACCGCGAAAGCTGTGGAGATGAGGGAAGGAGGACTTCTCAAGGTAAAGTCATGGCCAAGGTGCATGTTTAGGAAGTGAAGCAGAAGCACCAGTAGATAACATCTTGGTTTTTCACGCTGCACTTACTGTATTTCCACCGACACCAGCAGCACAGCACCAAGTTGACCAGGAGCACCAGCATCAGAACCAGCGACAGAGCCAAGCAGCCCCACAGCGGCGGGGACAGAGCGAGGAACAACCCGCCTGGCTCTGGTGTCGACGTCGGACCTGGGGGGGTTGAAGCGAAAAGTGGCGGCAGCTCAGTGTGTGGGGGTCAGGGTGATTATCATTAATGAGAACTAAAACAAAGAAAACTATAAATATTGCTTCAGAAACTGAAATAAAATAAAAGCAAACGTCAAATGCTTTCCGTTACAATCCTTTGTAATGCTATTTTGTTAATGACAGCATTAGTACATCATGGGCCCTGTGTATTCATGCAGGATTCATGCAGGATTCTACTAAAACATAAAATGGCTGTACAGCTTTCAGTCTATCCATAAAAATAAAATGATCAAAATCTAAACTGAAACTAAATGAAACGTTGAAATCTACACTATAGCAGCATTGGGGCAAACCTGTGCTCCAGGACAGAGGAGTGAAGATCGTCGCTGGTGTTGCATCAGGGATAAGGCCGAGGGACCCTGCAAGGCAGAGCAAATCTCATCAGGTTACCATCATGTGGGAGGTCAGATTAAACCGAACCAAACACAAAACGAAACAGGAAGAGGCCCTAGCGGGAGTATTTTGCGGTGCAGTTCCTTACAATCACACAGGACAACAAAAAGAATTTTTTTTTTAATCATCAGAGACCAAAACACATTTTCCCAAATCAGTTTGTCACGCTGATTCCATATCTGTTTTCAGTTTTTTTCTGTCACGTCAACTTTTTGATTTACGAATAATGCTAGTTAATACCGCAATTGCAAGTATTGTGTACTAAAACAAAAGCATCACTGTAGTATAGGGTAAAATATCTTCAGAGCAAAATCAAATAAACAGACAGTGGGCATAAAGGACTTGAAAAGTGTTTGTTAACCACCATTGTTTCTTCAAAAACGCTTTGAGTTTGATTTTGTTGTGTACACCATGTCTGGATTGTCGCGGTACAGCATCCAGCAGTAGTCGGGCATCATGCTTTCACTGTAACCAGCTGCACCTTCCCCGTACTCCTCATCACCTTCTACAGAATCAAGACCATCATGTGGTGGTACAGGAAAAGGCAATGAATCTCCACGAGGAACGGGCCTGATTGCAGAATCTAGACTGGGATATACAATTTGTGCTTAGTTTTAGCTGAGAATCCACTTGTATTTGTGCTGCAAAACTTGAGATGGTCTCTTGGTTCTCTCCACACCATCGGAATTCCAAATGGCATTGCTGCCTTTCGCCGATTTAGCCAGTCACGCAGACCATTTGAACAACTGGTACAGATGACATGTAGAGCCCAAGATTTATCCTGGTCTCCAAGTGGACAGCCAAAGTATAATTTGTATGTGTTCTTAAGATCTGCAGTGATTGGGCGACGTTGTGAATGAACCAAACACATAACAGAAACTGTGTGGATGATTAATACAATTCCTAGGCATGATAACAACTGAAAGCCAACACAGTTGATGCTGTCTGTCACTGCCACCTTCGATTTCCAGGACGATGACCCAGAATTCAAACTCGTGAACAATTCAAGAAATAATAAAAAAATTTGTCGAGAAGCTTATGTCAGCAAAACGAAACCTGAGGCACAACTATCTATGTTTCCCGCCAAACTTGTATACAGAAGACATGCGCATGCGCACTAGGTCAAATTAATTATACTCAAATCGCAACTAGACAAGTATCATTAAAACATAAATCAATATCTAGTCACCTAGAGAACGGTGATGCTGTCTATAAGATAAAAAACACAGATAACTGTTGTAATGCACTTAGGCAGGCTACATGTACATAATATCATACTACATATAGCTTCATCACAAAAACTTGGAGTGTTAGAGAAAAAATAAACACTGATTTGAAATCAGCATGAAAAATACTACAAACCCCACATAAAATTACCTCTGATGAAAATGACCTGTTAACCTGTGTTATTAATTGATTTACAATTAGTTACAGTTAATTAATGACTAATTTATTAGATTGTGCTGCAATAAATCAACGCTGCTGGTAAGTAACTTACATTTGTCAAAGTGACACTAAGGCCCAGCAGAAGATTAGGAATATGAACAGCTCATGTACACACAGAAGGGAAAGGGAACATTAAGAAGCAGATGGAGAAATTAATGGGGTTAAGACTCGCACCGTTACAGATGAGCATGGCCGCTTTTGAGTCCTTGCATAGGAAGTGGTGGTTGATGATCTCTCTGCATTGCCACAGATTTGTGTGTTGCCTTTTGCAGAAGAAGTACCAGTGCGTGTCGTTGCTGTGCGGGAGGTGGTGGTCGAACGCCGTGAACTGCTCAGGTGGGCCGCAGCCCAGCATGGAGCACACCATGCCGGCCTCCTGCTTTGCCCAGCTGTTGTCGCATACCGTGCCCCAGCTGCCGTTGCGGTGGATCTCCACCCTGCCAGAGCAGCGGTCCAGGCCGCCCGTGAGTCGCACCGCTCTCATCTCTGCGGTTTACATAGGGATGGAGCCATGAAACGAATTCCAGCGTGAACTTTTCCAAACATAATTATTATTTACTACTAAGCTGCACACATTTGCATCTGTACTCCCAGCCGTGTAGATGGGTCGCGGTGACACAGAAGCCTCTCCCAGCAAGGGCTCGAGGCACAGATACTAGAAACACGACGCCAGTATCTCATAGGACGCACACACTTAGAGATCCCAACTCAGCTGCACCAGCTGTGGTAAGAAACTGGGGCACCAGAAGGAAACCCACACGAGCAGCTCAGATATAATATCTAAGATGAAAACAACTTTCATTTTCTTCAAAATATTTTCTGTTACATGGATGTAACAACAGTGATACCCATAATGCATCAGTGCAAGAACATACCTGAGCACACCACCCCGGCATCCTCCTTGTGGCCACAGTCCTGGCTGTGGTGTGAGGCCAGGCAATTCCAGAGACTTCTCTCGGTGCCGGTGCAGTTGACGTCATCGAGGTGGATGGGCCCGCTTCCCGGCTTGAAGAGGCCATCCTGGCCCGTCACGTTCAGCGCGTAGCCACAGCCCAGCTGGGCACACACCACGTGCCCGGCCTGCATGTCCCAGCCGTCGTCACACACCGTGCCCCACTGCCCAGCGCTCCGCAGCTCCACCCTCCCGGTACAGCGGTCCTCGCCACCCGCCAGCCGGACCAGCTGGTGCTCTGAGTGGTCAGAGTTCATCATGTGACACGTCTCTCCGGCTTGGAACCAGATGTGCGTTACATTTGTTTTGCATAAAATTCCATCTCACCACAGATGATTTCTGTGGTCCCGGGGCCGTTTCCCCACGCTGTTTCCAGGGTGCAGTTCCTCAGGCCGTCCTCTGAGTACGTGCAGTTTGTCAGCAGGCTGCTGCCACGAGGGACTGCGCCCTCGCTCACGTTGATCATTCCTCCGCAGCCCAGATCTAAGCAGATTTGCTCTGCTGCTGTCTCCCTGGACGCCAGGGGAAGTGCAACGACGAGCTGTCGCTCACCGTGATAGGCTCCCAGAGTTCCAGAACATTCCCCGGACAACCAAGGGGAGTATAGCGTGGCTGTGGAGGGGGGTGGGACACAGAAGACGTGGAGATGAAAATAAGGCATCGATCGCAATTCTCTTATATTCATTTACATTGCATCTCGGGTACCAATCGGAGGGTTGATAAACAAAGTGGAATGAGTGCATGGCTAAACAGCCCCTCAGGGCAGCAGGACGGTGAATCCGGCACATTGGCAAACAGCTTTATGTGATGGTGGGGGCTAGTTTTCACTCCCAAAGCATGCACTGGCATGCGGTTTAGCAGCGAGGGCGGTGGAGGCCTCGTCTCGCTGCTTTGACGCACTGCACAAGTCAGAGAAGAATAAGCTGCAACATATGGGCTGTGGCCACATCCTGTATGACGCTTTCTCAGCAGAAATGTCTCTGTTATTGTCTGACAAAGGAGGCCCGAGACAAAGGCCAGGATTCAGGATACAGTGCTGAGGCATTTCCAGGGCTGGGGACGCGTGTCGTGAGGGACGAGAGGAATATAAGTTTGCAGTAATACAGCTTCTGATTTACTGCTATGATCCTGAAATTCAACTGATAGCAGAAACCATCCAGTGTTATTTAAACATACCTCACACCTCGGTGGTACAAATTAGCAGCTAATAGATAAAATAAATAAATGTAATAGACTGAATAAAACCAATGATTTTCATTATAATGACTATTTCAATATTAGTCTAAATACTAGAACTCGTGGCCATAAGTGGAAATTAGCAGGAGAACATTTTAAAACAAATTTGAGGAAGAAATCTTCTTTACACAGCGTGTAGTTAGAGTATGGAATAGTCTTCCTGCTAGTGTAGTGGAAGCTAAAACCCTGGGTTCCTTTAAGCCAGAGCTAGATAAGATTTTAACAACTCTGAGCTATTAGTTAAGTTCTCCCCAAACGAGCTTGATGGGCCGAATGGCCTCCTCTCGTTTGTAAATTTCTTATGTTCTTATGTTCTTATGTAGAGACAACAATATTTTTCTTTCTACGGTGTAACTGACTGTAAACAATATTTTTCTTTCTACGGTGTAACTGACTGTTCACTCGTTCTTTCATTATGTTAGTTGCTCAGCCTTGATGAGGTCTGTAAGGGCGCCTTGTGAATGCCGCTCACATTTACTGCCTTTCACAGGGTTTGCTGGTCACTCTGGTCAGGAGCGAGGAAAAGTATCAACTCACTCTGATTGATATGGAGGTCTTGTTTCTGCTGAGGCAGGGAATCATTCTGCCATCCGGAGGTGGACCCGTTTCGAGAAGCTGAGAAGAAAGAAATGAGATTTCATACTCTCTACTTTTTGAGAGTTTTTTTTCCACTGAGTCAACCCCTGTTTTCAGTTTTCAGCCTCAACTATTGTTGAATACCAATGTCACAGAACTTTTTATTTGAAAATAAAAAAAAAAGAAATGATCTGTTTAATAAATATTATTGCTTTAGTCAGAAAGGCAGTTCTTGTATGTAATAATAATCCATGGTAAACTATGATTCATTCTAAATGAAGTTTCATGTTAAAGAAGAATTTTGAAGCTGGTAGAGCTCTGAAGCTTTTACTATAAGAGAGATGCCTGATCTTGCATTTTAGTTTAATTTAATTGTTCAATAAGATGATTGGCTAACAGGAATTCGGTAAGATAGCCACACACACACATTTCTATGGGCAAAATCCTAATCCCAGCACTGACAACCTTAAATCCTACTCAGCCCAAACCTTAACCATAAGTAACCAAACAAAATTTGTTTTTATCACATTGTGGGGACACTCACAGACACAGACACACACACAGATATATATATACATACTGTGTACTGTGTGTGTGTGTGTATACACACACACAGTACTGTGCAAAAGTCTTAGGCAGGCAAAGAAAATGATGTTTAGATTATCCTCGTGTTGGTGTAAACCTATGATATTATGCCTGTCAAAGTGTGTCAGCTTAGCCATTTCAGAACCTCTGCTAAAATCACCCCAGTATTTGCAGTGACCGTCCAGTGCAGCCATGTATTTTTTGACTAGGCCACTAGCACACCTCATACAGCTAGTCAATCAGTCACTGACTTTTTAAACCAATTTATTTAATCATTTAATCGAGCTGTTGGTGAAATTGAACAAAATCATGGAACGGCTGAGGTGCCCCTGAGGAGAGGTTTGGGAACTGAAGCGGCGTTCATCTAGCCGTCCAACTAGATATCAGGAACTTTTTAGAAAACAGAAGAAATTATTACTAGTTTTTATTGTGTTACTCTTAATTTGCAAATGTTCTAATGTTAAATTGTGTTTTTTGTTCTAAGCCAAAGTACACTTGCTACCCAGATAAACAGCTTTAAACATTTCTTTGGACTGCCTAAGACTTTTGCACAGTAATGTATATGGAAAAAAAATTAAGAGACCACTATATAATCTGTATTTTTAAATCCTGGTTTAATCGTGGATCTGCTAGCAGAAAGCTACGCTGAGCAGCAGGTTGCTTCCAGGCTCAAAATTTCTAAGACAGTAATACACAAGAATACGGTGAAGCAGGAGACACTGGGAATGACCAGAAACCAGCCAGGTAGTGGGCAGAAGCGACTTTCTAATGGCAGACAGAATAATGACATTAAGTGACCTTCAAAAGGGATGGGAAACATTAAGTGTAGCTGTGAAGTGGCCTGCTATGACAGTTCATATCAGGCTGCTAGAAGCAGGATTGAAGTCCCATAAAGCAAGGATGAAGCCCTTCTTCAATGAGAAACAGAGAAGAACCAGGCTGCAGATTGTAAGAAACAAAAAAAACTATATATTATTCACAGACGCGCATCCATAATTGAGAAATGAGTGAAACAAAAAATCGTGCTGTGGTCTCTTAATTTTTTCTGTGTGTGTGTGTGTAAAATGAGTGTGTTTCTGTGTAAGACTAATGACTTTCTGTGTAGAAATGGTGACTAAAAATAATAATGGCATTTGTCATGAGAATATCTGTATGCAAAGAAAAAAATTAGGGTATAAGTCATGGAAAACAGAAGGGAGTTAATGACCAGCAGTCTGTGTGAGATCCCTGTAATGGAGGTGCATGTCTTTCAGATGTGACATATTTCAAGATTTTTCATCTTTTTATTTGTTTATTTGAAATATCTTTCTAAGTGAGCCTTACTGGAACAGTATGAGTCATGGAGGAAGCCTTTGTGTAAGGTCCTACGCACACAGTCAGCCTCCACCTCAACTTGTCTATAGGACTGTTGAAGATTGCTTAGGCAAAATTCACAATGCATACAGTATTGTGCAAAAGTCTTAGGCAAAGAAAAATATGTTTAAATGAACTTAGTGTAAAGCTAGGTTATCTGTTAAATTATTGTAGCTTAGCCATTTCAAAACAGATTAACTTAACAAATACACGGAATGGCTTGGTAACCCTTCAAGAGAGGTTTTAGAACCATAGTGGTTCTTCTAGACATCTAACAAGATATTGGAACAGAATAAATTCTTGTTCATTTTATGGTTTTGCTGTTCATTTTCATACATTCTTATGTTAAATTGAAGAGCACATTTCCAAATCTCACTCAGTCCACAAGATACGCTTTCAAGAAAATTTCCCGGTGTCTTGGTGAATTCTGGAAACTTAATAAATGTTCTTCACTGGAATACACAAGAACTGAGTACAGTAAGTTTTGGTTCCCATTCTGTGACATATGATGATTAACCCTAACTTACTCATTGGTAGTCTCATCTCAAACACAACAGAAAATGGACTGACTTTGTTCTGGAAATTTGCTCTTCCATTGTGTTTTTTTTTCTCTAAAATATACTCTTACTCTTACTGGGATGAGGTGAGAATTGTAACAGACAGCTTCATGTCAGATCAACAGCCCTCCAGCTGTAGAATGAGAAGTAAGCAAAACACTTGAGGCTGGCTGTTTGGCCGCGTTAAACCTTAACGACGATGGAAGCAAAGACCTTCAAAAGATGGCATCTCAGACACTTCGCTTACTCATGTGGATCTTCCAGAGCTCCAGCTAAACACATGCCGGCACACTTTACACACGCTAGTGTTTGACTGCAACCATCATCACCGCTGTACAAATGGTGATGGTGAACTCCTTTGGGGGCTAGAAGTGCTCATTTTCTGAAGTAGACAGAACTGCGATGTGAATGTAACGAGTGCTTCAGTATGCAGAAGTTCACTGCTAACGGTGCCCTTGTTTTATTCATGCTCAGCATCAATCAGATAAATGAACTGAAATAAAGTTTTTATTTCTAATATTATATTATATTATATGAAATACCTCTACAACCATGTTCAAGAACAGTTGTTGGAAGACAGATATTATAAAAAGAGCATATCTGCCTGTTTTTATCTCACCAGGTATATAACGTAATAATTATCGTATAATGATTAGCTAATTATCCTTTGTAACTTGATTTTTATGCTAATATTTTTCACTTTATACATATCATTTTAAATAATGTCCATCAACAAAAAACAGTAGTACTTTGCAGTTAATAAATAAATTCATGCATTGTACCGCAATCAATGCAGAATATAGAATTATTTTAAATGACTTTGCCATTATTAACCCTTTTCAAAGAGTATAGATTAACTTTAGCCCAGAATGTGAACTGAGACACTATAAAAATCATGAATGTCAATCTCATACGTCTCCTCTGGGTGCCAGAGGTTTGGAGATCAGGGATGCAGAATCCGTCCATGTGACCGAGGACACGAACGCAGCGACGGTTTGGTCGGGGGCCTGTGGCCCTCGCATGACCCACAAGAAGAAAGCAGTCAGTCACAAACTTTACCTTGACAGAGAGCCAGCGTCTGGAAAAGTGAGAGAAGCGTGAGCAGATCCATGGTGATGCTGAGGAGCAGAAGCAGCAGCTGGTGAGGGACGTTCTGACTCTGTGCGCCTCATCGGAAGAGCTGCAGCCTCCTAACGGCCCTTCTGATCCTCTGGCTGCTTGCCAGCAGGAGTGGTTTCCCCTCGTGTTCAGTGGTTCACCCACCGCACCTTATATTTTTTTCTTCATCACGTGACGACACGAGTCTCATTTTTTCCTCGGCCTCCAACTCATAACAACAACGATGAGAAAAGGCGATGGACCCGCCAAGCCTGCGGGTTTCATGACGGTGACCTGCACACCTGCTGTTTGCAGCTAGTCATCGGTGCTCTGCTTTCGAGAGGCTTTTAACGTGCCGGGCTGCACCTGTACACGGACGAGAGCAGCTGCCTCGTCTGAACATGAGACTTTGTACCTCAGAACTCTCAAGCGACAGGGTTGCATGTCGACTCCTGATTTGTGACATTCTAAGTGTTATAAAACTGTGCCATGACTAATATGCTGGGATTTGTAGACCATGCTGTGCCATTGCTCTACATGGATGAGAATCTGGTGTCAAGCGTACTCATACTCTCAGGTGACAGCACACATCCCTCAGACACCTGCCACCTAGGGGCTCAGGTTGGAATTGCAGCTTACGTTAGCCCCGTGAGCCCCAGCTGAATGCACTGTGATTAAAGGTTGAAGGGATTAAAATTGAGATGGATTTTATATCAAGGGGGAACATTCTGGTGAATTCAGCAGGAACATAATGCGCAGACAAACATAGATATAATGCCAAAGACATAAAGTGCAAACAAAGTAAATGTAGTTGCAAACAGATTTATAAATAGTAAACATTACACAAATAACATGTCCTGTAAATGAATTTTGTGAGACTAAAAATAAAAAAAATGTTTAAATAAATGTTTAAAGCACCGGATTTTAACTGTAAAAAGATAGGGAGTGACAAGTCGGCAGGTTCTGTGGGGTCTGATGGCAGGAGGCAGGAATGATCTTCAGTAGCGTTTTCAAGTTCACTGTAGTGAAATGAGCCATTAGCTAAATGTGCTTGAGAATAGCGCCCCCTGGAGCAGATGGACAGAATTGTTCATCACATTGTCCAATTTTGCCAGCATGCTCTTCTCTGTTACTGCCTCCAGCGGGTCCAGGGTCAGTCCCGTGATGGAGCTGGCCTTCCTGATGAGCCTCTTCTGGTGTTTGACATCACCTGAACTTACATGGCTGCCCCCGCAGGTCACAGCGTAGAAAAGCACGCTGGCCACTCCAGACTGATAAATCATACGCAGCAGCTTGCTACACGCGTTAAAAGTCCTGAGGCTCCTCAGGGTGGAGAATCTACTCTGGCCTTGTGCAGTGCTGCTGAGCCGCCCATCCAGCCCAGTCGGCAGATCAGGTGGAGCCCCATGTACATGTAGCCTTTCGCCACTTCCACTCCCTCCCCCTGGATGGTGCCCGGTCTCAGGGACTGTTTATTACGCTGGAGGTCCACCACTGGCTCCGTTGTCGTGTTGATGTCGAGCTGCTGTAAAATCCTGTACTAGTCCTCTGTACTCATCTCCGTCGCTGATGTATCCTCAGTGGAGTTGTCAGAGAAGAATGCCTGTAGGTGGCAAGAGCTGGTGTTGTACTGGAAGCCCGATGTGTAGAGCGCAAACCGGGGGGGGGGGTGCTTCCCTGAGGTGCCACAGTGCTGCTCACCAACATCTCCGACACAAAGGCCGGGGGCAGCATAGCCTGCTGTCTGTTACTTAGGAGATTGTTGGGGCATCAAGCTGCATTGTTCTCAGCAAGATGGCGTTTGTTAAAGGCGGTGGACGGAGCAGCCACCATCCAAGCCGTGTCCTACATCACACTGAATTACTGCGTTGTGCAACAGTCAGTTCACAGGGCAACTAATAATGATCAAATATGGGTGAGTTTGCTTGGCGTGGCAGCCTGTGGGATCCAGTTTGAGCGGCACTGGCTTATTCTATCGATCATAAAATGTCACCCCCTCCCGAGAGACAATGAGATTAAATTAAACAGAACCACCCAAATTTTGGTTGCTGTCTAGGCGGCTGTATCGTGTATCACGCTCTCCAGGAACCAAGCTAGATACACCTGCGTTTGCCTATTTGTCACGCCCTGCAGTTCCCAGTTTTCACCAGTAGATGGCAATTGCTAATTTACTAGACACAGCACACATTGCAGCAGAATGGGACACCCTCCACTGTGGCTGGCTGGGATCGCTGCTTTGTAGCCGTCACCTTGACCTGCACTGGATTCCTCTAAAGTCAGTTCCTCAGGCATGCGAATGGGCGCAGGACGTGTCATATTAGGCTCCTCAATTTCCGCCCACCCAACACGTTCCCATCCCCCAGCTCAAGGCTCGTATCGGAGCGACCGGGGCACAGCTGTCAAAACTCTGACGCCTCCCGCGAGACGGGGTGGGGGGGGGGGACTGCAGAAACCCCACCCTCATCTCCCTCCCTCACACCACATGCTCAAATTAACGGTCTACAAAAACAACCCCTTTTCAAAGATCACAGTTTTTGCCTGAAAACAAGTGGTCTTAATCAAGCTGTCTGCAGAATGCACTGAAAGGAGATAAAAATCTGCATCAAATGTCAGTGGAAATATTCGCAGGCGATTACTTACAGGCCCTGTCACACAACGGTTACACAGGCCTCACAAACCGTGTTCTCAGTCCCCTGACTTGTGTTTACAGTGCAGCCATTTAATTGCAGTGGGGATGTCAGAGTCCACAGGCAAAAAACACAACTTGGTGCAATATGCTCTTTTGGAAAATCTACAGAGCAACTCTGTGTACAAACAAACAATGTAGCACAATGCAGACTGTCAGCTTCGCAGTAAACATTGTAGAGTAAGCATTCTCAAATCAGGCCTCTGCTTCCTATAACTGCGAAGTTGCTGTTGAGGGCTGTCGTTCCTGCAATTTGTCCCTTGTGAAAGTCACTCAAATACATACGCTTGCCTATTTTTCCTGCTTACAACACATTAACTTATAGAACTGACTGTTCATTTGCCTGATATATAATGGCATCCTTGACAGGTGCCATTGTAATGAGACAATGTTATCATTTCACATGCCATAAAGAATTTTGCTACATGCCTTGAGTTTGACATACGTGGTGTAGTAGTTACACAGATGTTTAGGTAATTAGATGCCTTTATCCAAAGCAGTTTTGAAAAAGCAGGGGTCAGACAACGCCTGAAGCAACTGGGGAGATTTGGCCGAGTGGCCTTTCAATCACAGGAACAGTGTCCTCATCCTGTGTGTCCCAATCATTTTACTGCCACGGCACACTTCTGATAAGGTAATTATCCCAATGCACACCGTTCATTAACACATACTGCTAATCGGCTTTTACCAAAAACATGCATCACATTGCTCTTAACCTGTTGGCTGAATTTGTCCACGATCTTGTCTTTTTACTAGAGGGTGGTAATGTAAATGAATGGGTATATAGATGGATGTTTCTTTCTGTTTCCACTAGGGGGCACCCTTCCAGTTCTCATCTCATCGTACAAGACATGGTGAATGGGTCCTGCTGGTGTCTGTGCAGAAACTAGAATAGAAAAACATCAGAGTGCTTCCAGGTAGGAAAGAAAGATTCCTTAACCTAAGCTTTGTGTAACTGTTATTCCACCTTTCACTTATTTTCAGTCTTCTCTTCCTTCTATCCATTTTTCATGGCTGCTAATACGATGCACTTGTACAGCTGTGGCCAAAAGTTTTGAGAATGACACAAATGTTAATTTTCACAAAGTCTGGTGCCTCAGTTTTTATGATGGCAATTTGCATTTATTCCAGAATGTTATGGAGAGTGATCAGATGAATTGTAATTAATTGCAAAGTCCCTCTTTGCCATGAAAATGAACTTAATCCTAAGAAAATCCAGTTCCACTGCATTTCAGCCCTGCCACAAAAGGACCTGCTGACATAATTTCAGTGATTCTCTCGTTAACACAGGTGAGAGTGTTGATGATGACAAGGCTGGAGGTCACTCTGTCATGTTGACTGAGTTAGAATAGCAGACTGGATGCTTTAAAAGGAGGGTAGTGCTTGAAATCATTGTTCTTCCTCTGTTAACCATGGTTACCTGCAAGGAAACACATGCAGTCATCATTGCTTTGCATAAAAGGGCTTCACAGGCACGGATATCGCTGCTAGTAAGATTGCACCTACTGTAAATCAGCCATTTATCGGATCTTCAAGAACTTCAAGGAGGGAGGTTCAATTGTTGTGAAGAAGGCTTCAGGATGCCCAAGAAAGTCCAGCAAGCGCCAGGACCGTCTCCTAAAGTTGATTCAGCTGTGGGATCAGGGCACCACCAGTGCAGAGCTTGCTCAGGAATGGCAGCAGGCAGGTGTGAGTGCATCTGCACGCACAGTGAGGCGAAGGCTTTTGGAGGACGGCCTGGTGTCAAGAAGGGCAGCAAAGAAGCCACTTCTCTCCAAGAAAAACATCAGGGACAGACTGATATCCTGGAAAAGGTACAGGGAGTGAACTGCTGAGGACTGAGGTCATTATCTCTGATGAATCCCCTTTCCGATTGTCCGGAGAAGAAAAGGTGAGCGCTACCATCAGTCCTGTGTCATGCCAACAGTAAAGCATCCTGAGACCATTCATGTGTGTGGTTGCTTCTCACTCACAATGTTGCCTAAGAACACAGCCATGAGTAAAGAATGGTACCAAATCATCCTCCGAGAGTAACTTCTCCCAACCATCCAAGAACAGTTTGGTGACGAAAAATGCCTCTTCTAGCATAATGGAGCACCGTGCCATAAGGCAAAAGTGATAACTAAGCGGCTCGGGGAACAAAACATCGACATTTTGGGTTCATGGCCAGGAAACTCTCCAGACCTTAATCGCATTGAGAACTTGTGGTCAAACAAAAACCCACAAATTCTGACAAGCTCCAAGCATCCTCGGAGGAGATCCCAGTCCATCATTTAAATATATCTGTTTTACAGCAGTTTAGTGGGTAGTAATGTGGCTCGCAGCTGCAGGACTGGGGGTTCAGTGCTGCGCCCGAGACTTTGAGCAATTTGCAGATTCTCTTCATCTTGCTTAGGTTTCGGCCTAACTGCATGCTGCAGCCCAGTGACATGCAGTTAGGCTAATTAATGTCTCTGAATTGCC